CATGTTTAAAAACATTATTGCCCTGGCTGGTGTTGCTCAGTGTTTAGAGGGTCGGCCTGAGCACAAAAGGGTCACGGGTTCCCAGTCAAGGGCATGTACCTGGGTTGCAGGTTTGATCCCTGGCCCCAGTCAGGGTGCATTTGGGAGGCAACCAATCGATGTATCTCTCTCACATCCATGTTTCTCTCTCTCTCACCTTCTCTCCCTCCCTTCCATTCTCTCTAAAAGAATCAATGGAAAAAATATCCTCGGGTGAAGATTAACCAAAAATGATATAGTGTATTAAAATTATTTTCAACCATTTCTTTGTATAGATTTTATATGTGGCTGGCATATTTCTATTGGGTATAGGAATTAATTTTTAAGGAAGGAAGCCCTTTCCGGTCCCCTCTGTGCCCTAAAATCACCTAAAGTGGCTGTTTTTGGTGGAAGGAGAGAGGTAAGCATTGTGGCCTCTGACGGCTACACTAGAATGTCTGCAGGCCCCTCAGCCTGGGTCCCACCTTCTCGAAGCACCACACGTTCATACGGTGGGTAGTGACCCTGCCTGGTCAGATCCGACAGGTCCTCGCGGCTCCGATGGCTGGTCTTCTTGGCTCCCCGACGAAAACCCCGTAGTCGCCAGAACTCAGCCCGTCCGCCAGAGCCCGCCGAGGCCCCAGGCCCAGGCCCCAGGGCCCGCTGGGCGGCCTCCAGACTGGCCAGCTGCTCTGCCCTGGGGAGAAGGGAGAGGAAGGAGCACTGGGATCAGCGCAGTCACAGCCCCAGAGATGACCCCGTCCCAGTGCAGGGCCTGTACCTGTCACCTCACATGGTAAAGGGACTCTGCCGAGGGGATGAAGTGAAGGCCCCTGAGATGGGGGTGACCCTGGATTCCCTGGGGGCCCAACGTCATCACAGGGTCCTCATAAGAAGAGGCAGGAGAATTATGCTCTAGCCGGCTGTGCTCAGTGGTTAGAGCGTTGGCCACAGACTGAAGAGTCTTGGGTTCGATTCCAGGCAAGGGCGTGTACCTCGGTTGCAGGCTCAATCCCTGGTCCCAGTCGGGGCACATGCGGGAGGCAACCGCTCAATGTGTCTCTCTCACATCGATGTTTCTCTCTCTGTCTATCCCCCTCCTTTCCACTCTCTTTTAAAAAAATATCCTCAGGTGAAGATTAACAAAAAAAGAAAAAGAAAAAGAAGAGGCAGCAGGGTGAGAGTCAGAGATGGAAGAGGCTGCGCTGCTGGCTGTGACGATGGAGGAAGAGCCGAGAGCCTGGGGTGTGGCGCCTCTGGAAGCTGGAAGAGGCCGGAAACGATGCTTCTCTGGAGCCTCCAGGACCAGCCCACACCTGGACTGCAGCCCTAAAGCGTTCACTTTGGGGGGTTTTGTGTGTTTTTTGTTAATCCTC